CACCTACATCTTGGATGCCCTGAGGGTAAGCAGATAAACATCACATTTTCATTTTTCATTATCCCTTTAACCCTCATAGTGCGTTTAAAATCAGTGGAGGATTTTCGCATTCCTAAAGAATCCTTATTTTATAAAACAGGCATAACTTTTTTTTTTTTTTACTAAAACTATATTGTATTAGCAACATCTCATTAAGAAGTGAATCTGAAATTTTTTTTCAAATGTCACCATTGTAGGCTGTTACCATGTTTTTACTGAATTTAGTCTTTTTTGATTTTATACTCTGAAGTTTTCAAACTAAATTTTTACTTGCATAAACTTTCACTTTCAGATGAAAAAGTGATCAGTTTTTTTTTTTTATGCAGCAATGGCGACATATTCAAATTTATCAACAAAATTCCGTTCCAAAAGTGTGTGAGATATGAGGAAAAGCGGGATTATATTTCACAAAAGTTTTTGACACTAAAATAAATTCATAGATCATTTCACACAAAGCATTTTGGACACCTAATGGTACTCCATAAAATGACCCGAACGTTTTAAATGGTTATATCTCTTCAAAAATAATTGTAAAAAATAAATGATGTGGCTCTTAAAGACTAAAAACGATGCATTTTTTAGAATGTTTCATGTATCTCTTGCATTATGCATTATGAGGGTTAATAACTATTAAATTCAGCCCTGGCTTACATAAAAACACTTGAACTTAAAACAGATTTTATAGCTCTGAATAAAGCCAGTAATTGCTTCATTAACAACTACATGAACCATTACAAATGAAACACACATTGAGTCCCATTGAGTTTGCAACAGTTTGCGAGGCTCGTTTGTCAAACAAAGGGCTGATATCTGCTCCATTAGCATACAGAAGATGAGCGGATCGTGTGTCTGCTGTTATCTGCTCCTCTATTATGAGCTGCATGTGAATGAGCTCAGTCCCACAGTGATGCTTCATTTCCTAAACCCATCAAACCATGTTCCATATAAGTTTATCTGAATCAGAACTGATCCTGAGTTCATGCTTTCCTGAGCTGAAAATCTCACGCTTGACTGCATGCTTTGGTTCATTTTAAGTAGGTTATAGTGGCTGGATTGAATATTTGATTGTTCTATATAATCAGCAGGACAAACACAAGAGAAATCAATTCTTATTAAGTAAATTGCATTTGATTTTATTGCTAAACATGATTATGGCCACAAGCAAATGGACAAAACTGTGCGAAGAGATCAATGCTGTTCCTGTTGCACTGTGTTATCAAATGCAAAACTTATTTAACAATGCAGATTAAATATCTCTGCGGTCCTGATTCTTTTAGCGTTTTTTATTTTCTCCAACTTTCAGTGATGTGGTTTGAGTGTGTATTAGCTCTGAGGCGCTTTCTCAGGATCGACATGCTGAAACAATCAGTGAATGAGATGCAGAGACACACCTGAGAGCGCGAGCGTTGATTGATTACGTCTCCAGAGGAAAGAAACAGAGACAGACAAAGTGTGTTTGTGTGCCGAGTTTTGCCTTTCAAAAGATCTTATGCACATGTATATGACATGAACTCATTGAGAAGTTATGCTTACAATGATTTGTTGCAGACTAGTTATGTTTCACTGTAAAGATGGCAGAAAAACAAACATGACTGCGTTTTCTTTTTGTGCGTCAAGCTTTTTTGTTCTTATTATTAACAAAAAAAAATATGATATGATGTGTTTCCGGTGTGCAACCTGCACATGTGCAATACTTTTTAATATTGAATTCTGGATCAAATCTGAGTGTTGAATCAAGACACATTTACTTGATGTACTGAATGACGTAAGATAGTAAGTCTTATTTTCTAATAAAATGAATAAAAAAGAATAAACTAAAAAAAAAAATTCTGAAAATAATAACAAATATCTGCCAATAGGGTCTGAAAAATAAATGGTTTCCTTTTAAATTGATTTTTCTGACTCCACTGACAGATATTTGTTCTTGTTTTAAGCTTAAACTCACTTCATTTTGATACATTTTTAAGAAAACAAGATATTATATCTTCAGTCATTTTGCTTCCAAACTAAATGTGTCTTGATTTAAGAATGTTTAGATATTTGTACTGGAAAACAAGACAAAAATACAGAGGAAAAAACTCGTTTTTTTGCAGGTTCAGTACTAGTGACGGTTGACTTCAGTAGTAAATATGCTGTTACTTGCATACTACAGTGTTTTTAAAATATGAAGTATGAAATATGGCATACATTTTATAAAAAAAAAAAATTTGATGAAAATATAGTAATAGTAACTGTGTAATTTTAGTATCATTGTATATATGTATCATATCTATCTATCTGTCTATCTATCTGTCTATCTATCTATCTGTCATCTATCTATCTATCTATCTATCTGTCATCTATCTGTCTATCTGTCATCTATCTGTCTATCTGTCTATCTATCTATCTGTCTGTCTGTCTGTCTGTCTGTCTGTCTGTATTTAAAGTTATATTAAACTATATTAAAACTATAAAGACATATATAAAAAACAAAGAATGACTAAAACATTACTAAAATTAAAATAAAAAGCGAAAAATTATTTTAAAAAAAGCTATAAAAGCATGTCAATGATACAAAAATATTTGTGTTCTTCAGTGTCAGTCGTAAGCTACACGAGGAAACGAGGCTATGGACTGGAGCAGAAACTATTGACTGCGTATGAAATTGTCACGTGTGAGCAAAACAAAGTCTCATCGGCAGTGCTGTGCAGAACGATCTGTTTCTCTCATCGCTGAATATCTTCAGACCACAGAAGCCAGTGGACGGACAAATGTGTGCAAACCACTGAGAAACACGAGCACAATTACACTGAACGACAGCATCTGATCAGAGACGCACTGCATGGACTGAATGATTTAAACCACAGTATACTGTCAAAAAACTGACGGTTCATGAATTAAGCATCAGCTTCAGATGAACCATTCTGGGTCCTGCGATACCAAAACATCAAGAAAGAAACCAATCATATTTTGGGGAATTAAAAACCTATGCATAAAAGTAACAAAGAACAATGATATTCTGCACACACACAGCAGGTTTTAAATTATAACTTATAAACCAATAAAGACAGACCTGTTGTGAACCCAGAGGTTGTTAACTGATAGTATTTGTGTTTGTTGAACCCATCTGTTCGCATTATTACAACTTATTTAGGAATAATCATGTTTAACGCCGGAATTTGTGGTGGGAAAACTACATTACCCATGATGCCGTGCGGCAAAATTCCACCAACCAGAGAGTTGCATATACATATTTGTATATATTTTGCAATATAATTAAAACATGCTATTTCTATAAATATAATTAACAACTTTAAATGAATAGTTTTACATTTCACCGTCGTTTTTAATTTATGTCATTCGCAAAGCCTCACGGGATTGTAGTTCTTTTTTTCCCACGGGATTGTAGTTCGGTTTCTGTTCGATTTTCAAATACTTTGTTGCTTCCAATCAGAGTTTGTAATGTTGTGATTCTCCTCGAAGCTGGTTGGTTTTGTTCATGACTTATAACGCTTTGTTTTAAAATCCCTATGAGAAGAATGAATGGAAAGAAGGATCTGGTTGAATAAGCTCAATGACGCCACCTGGAGGCAATATTCATAGAGTATAATATCTAAGTATCCGCATTCATACTGTACAACTAAAAAATAAAAACAAATAAATCTGACTTGACTTGAACATTGATAATAAATTGATCCGATCATGATTCTGTGTCAGAACCTGTTCATTCACAGGATCCTGGAACTTTGTGGGTTTGGTTTTCCATTAATATTTGAACATATAGTCCATAACTGAATATTAATGCAGCAGTGTTTGTCTGGATGTCTAATTTGAATAAAAGCATTAATTTCTTTCAAAAAATAAAAAAATTAAATAAAAATACTGACCCCAAAACTTTTGAACAGTTGTGAATATTGATACAAAAGACTTTTATTTTGAATAAATGCTCTTCTTTTTAACATTTTATTCATCAAAACATCCTGAAAAAAGTATCACGTGCATTTATATATACATATAGATATACACAGTGCACACACATTATGTAAACAAACGTTTATTTTGGATGCGATTAATCGATTTGACAGCACTAATTATCATTAGATGGACGTTTGTTCATAACTCTGGGTTCTTACCATAAATGCATCAGTTGTCACGTGACTGAATCAAAATGAACCCGTTTTAGACAGACGAGATTTTTTTTGCACGTTTTTGCGTGTCTTGTGTTGTACAGTTTGAAAATTTAAAAAAAGATTAATGTAATTATTACTGTCTTTACCCCTCCATTAGGAATTCAGTGTCGTGGCAGAAAAAACAGTTTATCCCTGCTTTGATTGTTTTATCACAATAAGCACAACATTTTGTGGGACTGGAATAATAAACAAGAGTTGAGCTCAGGATAAATATTACGTTGTGACGACGTAACCTTCCCGGATATGAACCTAATTAATAGCGACACGCCTACCTCGTAGTCAAGAGCGCCAACTGGCTGCGTGTGCGTCATTAATATTCATGAGCCACGCAAATCGCCGCGTGACGTCACCGCCGCCGTCCGCGGAGAGCGACTTGATTCAAACGCGCGCACGGAGCGTCCCTTTGCGGCAGCGAGCGACTGAAGGTCAGAGAGAGAGAGAGACCGCACTGATAACCGGACCTGAAGGTAAACGGCATTTATAGATCATAACGGTATCATGATGATGATGTGTTCGTGCTAATGAAGGTTAACATTCTGCGGTCAAATGATGATGTGCATCATGCATATTTAGATTTTCGCAGTTAATGAAAAGCGTGATGCATATTAATGAATATTGACTGTTGCATCCGCATCAGCCTGCCAGCATCCTCCTGCTATATTTATCCGGGCTTTGATGCTGTAAAGCGGGTTTGGCTGATCTGCTGGACTTTACATGGTTCCAGCGGGTCATGCGACGGGTGGCTCTGTCTGATGAGATTCAGCGTGACATGCGCGTTCATCATCTTCACAGACAGATTACAGGATACAGTAATATAATAAGTGTTATCTAATATTACGGATGCATCTGACTCATGTCTGTTTGACTGTAATTACCCAGCTGACGTTCTCACAGCATTCACTAATGTTAGGACAAAACATTCTTAAAGTCCCCATGAAATCAAAATTAAAGTTTTTTGGGTGTTAGCATCAATATGTTAGTCTTAAGGTTATCTATAAGGCAGTGTGCTCCAAAATTCGCATTTAGAAGATATAAGCATTCAAAGCTTGCAGTTTGTCACTTCCGCCAAAACGACTCAACGATTTTTGTGACGTCACATCGTACTTCAGCTTCTCATCAAACTTTCTGTCCAATCAAATGCTGTCTAGAAACCGAAGCCCCGCCCCCTACACTATACAAGCCGTGGCTGAAATCAGTCACTTGTCCACAGAATTAGTATTTTCTGTGCAGTGGATGGCACGTAGTGCACTATATAGGGGACAGGGAACGAGGAAACAAAGAAGTCTGGTTTGGCGCTGTGTCACGCTAACCACCGCACCGCACACACACTCTGCTCCGGTCCAGAGACACGGTAGCACGGAGCGGATCACATGCGCGAATCGCCGCAGACCACAACATGTATCGGAGCTATTTGAATTCTACACAGAATGCTATATTTTATAGCAATATGGATGAGATTGTGGCTGTCAAATGCGGCTTTACGGAGCTCAGCGGCTCTGAACGGCTCTAGCCCAAGCTGTGATATAAACTAATGCTATTGGCTATTTTAAAAAGGGGCGGGGCTGCTTGATATGCCCCGCCCTGTCTTCCTGTTTCAATTAAAATTACATCAACACAGAGTAACGCTGCGTGTTTCTAAGCATTTCAGGGGACCTTTAAAGTAGCCTAATGTTTGTGGAACGTTCTTGCAACTTTATTAATATCTGAGATACATTCTCGTAATCATAAAGGAGTAGTTCACTTCCAGAATAAACGTTCCTTGATAATTTACTCGCCCTCATGTCATCCGAGACGTTCATGTCTTTCTGTCTTCAGTCGCAAAGAAATGAAGGTTTTTGAGGAAACATTCCAGGATTTTTCTCCATATGATGGACTTCAATGGAGACCAACGGACTGAACGCGTGACCTTTCCAACGTGATTACGTCATGCGTGAAGTCCAGCTAGTGCAAGACCAGCATTTGTGGTTAAAAACTATATAAATTATTATTATTTTTTTTAAATGAGCGATGGTTTCTCTAGATGAGACTCTTATTCCTCGGCTGGGATCCTGTAGAGCTCTTTAAAGCTGCACTGAAACTGATTCGGACCTTCAGCCCGTTGGTCCCCATTGAAGTCCATTATACAGAGAAAACCCCTGGAATGCTTTGCTTAAAAACCTTCATTTCTTTGCGACTGAAGACAGAAAGACATCTTGGATGACACGAGGGCGAGCACATTTAAACAACATTCTCAAAACGTCCTTACAATGTTATTTGTACTTCAAAACGTTTTGTTCTCAGAAACGTTTTTGCAACCTTTAAATAACGTTCTAATCATGACACGAAAACAGGACATTTTAATGCTTTCGAAAAAAATGTATAATCTAAATTTGTTACCTGGGTTCCCAGCGAACAGGGAGTTATGAACAAACATTCTTCCAGTAACATTAATAATAGAACGTTCACATTGTCTTAATGGTGACATATCATGAAAATCTGACTTTTCCAGGTTGTAAGTGCTATAATCAGGTCCCCGGTCCATCTACCAACCAAGAAACGTGAAAAAGATTAACCAGGTAACATTGTTTTGGTAAGTCTTTTTCTGCAAGCATCTGAGAAAACGAGCGCGTCAGATTTCGCTCCCTTGGTGACGTGGCAAAGGGATCTCATTATAATAGACTTATATTACATGTTGTGAAAAGGGGCATAATATGTCACCTTTAAAACATTATTTATATATCATTCACGGAACGTTTTTCCTGAAAGCTTTTAGTCGTCTGAGGTTTTTTAAACGTTACTGCTTGAGACCATTCAGAGAACAATCAAAAGTAACGTTCCCATAACATAAAATGATAATATGTGACCCTGGAGCACAAAAGCAGTCTTAAGTCGCTGGGGTATATTTGTAGCAATAGCCAACTGCATCTTTCAGATGATGTATACATCTCAATTTAAAAAAAATGACACTTATGACTGGTTTTGTGCTCCAGGGTCACATATGGAATATTCCCTCAACGTTTTCAGAACAACGTTCATACAGCGTGTTTTTGTTCGCCAGCAACACACTGAGCATGTGCGTCTCAATCCACCCGAAATCTCCTGCTTTCTTTGTGTTGTGCTGATGAGAAGAATCTAAGACTGGTGAAGTTCAAACATCACGCTGCGCATTAAAGGAGACGCCCATGCTCAATATTCTGGGGCTTCACACGGTCAAACACATCGTTTATGAAGGCACTAAGCAGAAACGAGCATGCACGCTTTCAGGTGAGTTTGACATACAGCTGCTCACATCTGGAAAATTCATGCTTCAGGAGTGAATGGAAGGTGCTGCTATTATTTCCATGAGGAAGGCGATGACAAACGTCTCAGATGATAGCAGAACCCGACACACACCTACATCACACTGTTATTAGTCTTAGTCTTAGACGTGCTCTCCAGTAAAACATGGCCATTAGAGAATATATAGCAGCTATTAATATGTATTTTTCTCACTTTAAGCACGAATGAATGCAGTTTTTGTGCAGCGCAGGAGCAAATATGGGTCATTTAGGTCACGATAATGACCCAAGGTGATTATTATGACAGAAATAATTAACTCTGTGAACCTGAAATAGTCTGAAATAGTGAGAATGTGGAGGAAAAAACAGCTGATATTTATATGTTGAGATTCTGATGCTTGTAATAAATCAGTGATATTTGACTAGTTTTGATCATGTTTCATGTCTCAAATATGATACAGTAGCTTTACAGGCTTTTACCAGAAGGAAATCTCGTTTAACGTGAGCTATTGTCCAGACGATCAGTTTCCAGCGGTGTCTCTCTGTATCTGCTCTTTCTTTCAAAGAGAAGCCGGTCTGTGTACGTGTGTGCATTATGTATGTTTCTGTTATGATATCTCAGATGTTTGTGAGGTTAAATATCAAACAGAGGTGGAGACGTGATGGATTCTGTATATTATTGGCCTCCCGCAGCACTCTCTCTGACTCTATTGTTTCTGTGAAGTCTCTTTCTTCAGGTGAGAAACTCTAGATCTTGTTTTTGAACTTCAGGTCTCTTGGCCTTCAAAGTGACTCAGGATCAGTCAGCAGGTCTTTCCTCTCATTCAAACCAGCATACGTTCAGCTGATGTTAAATCAACGCACCGATGAATAAATGATACAGGAACTATTCGAGCCGTTCATGCCAGACTGGGGAGAGGCATACGTTCAGCTGATGTTAAATCAACGCACCGATGAATAAATGTTGTTGAAGATCAGAGGCCTTTAGGTCTCATGCTGATGTATTCTATGAGTTTGATGAATTTAGTTCACAGCTGGAGTTCGGATGCTGTTTGTGCCACTTTAACCAGCGCTGGGTTTGACCTACACTGATTTTAACTTAGAAATTGCTAGTAAATTGAACAAACGGCAAGTAACACATTGAATTAAATGTGAAATTTTAAAGTAGTTGTTACCTGTACTCAAGTAATGTTTATAACTTCAGAAAAAAAAAAATTACACTCTAGTATAAATTCTTAGAATAAGGATCAGCTTTTCGACTGTTTAAAAAAAAAAAAAAGTATTATACACATTTATCTTATTTAAAAGACGAGCACAAAATGTAGATTTTTCTCTCAAAGTTATGAACAAACGTTCTTCCAGTAACATTAATAGAATGTTTGTTAAAAGTTATTGAGTCTTTAATAATGTTCTCAAAAACGTTATTTATACATTTTTTTCCTAACGTTTTTAAATGTTACTACTTGTTTTGTTACTTGTTACATTCAAAAATAACGTTCCAATAATGTTTCAAAATGATCAAATGGAATGTTCCCTTAAAATTTGTATTACCAAGAAGAAATGTTTTTAAAACATTTAAAAAGCTGGATATTTTGAAAGTTATGAATGGGCCACTGGCCCAGCTAACCAATCACAGCACACACTGGCCCAGCTAACTGTTCTAAAATAACTAAAATAAAATAAATCAAAACTATATTGAGATATATAAAATAAAAACTACTAAAAATGGCAAAAACACACAACAAATACTAAAAATACTAAAAACTAAAACTCTAAATAAAATTAAAATGGAAAATGTAAAATTAAAAACTGATTTAAAATAGTATACTAAAATAACATTGTTCAGAAATGTTTCATAACTCAATAGGTTTTGCCAGCTGGGTCTCTGTTCAGTCACACTATGAAGAGTTAATGGCAGTGAAGTGAAGTTTTCCAGCGGTTCCACATGACCCTCGATGTCCTCGGCACAGTCTGTGAGTTTGGAAATATCAAACCTGGACAGACGGAGACCTTGAAAACAGCCTGGGACACGCAGTAGATCAGCTGCGTCAGGTCTGTTTTATTTGTAAAGCGATTTTCACAATGCATGGAATATGACTGTGTCTCAATAGTGCTTTAGACAGCACAGAAGAACTACCACACATGTGTTCGTTTGTAATCGTTCAGCGGGAATGGAGATGTTTGTGATGTGAACTGTAGAGAAATCATGGCTAAAGATGAGGAAGGCCATCTCATTAAATATTCATGAGGCAGCACTCACTGCTTCAAGCCATACCGCAACCTTGAAGCTGAAGGAGAATACAGACCTCAAACCTCTCGTAACGTCTCACTGTGTCTCGTTTAGTCAGCTCACGTCTCCAGGTGTCAGGTAACAGCATCACCCGAGTCTCTGCCGTCAGCCAATCACATCGCTGCATTAGTAGTGTACTCGCTTCAGCTTCTGATTGGATCAGACGAATCACATCACTTTAAACAAGACATGTGATTGGTTTATAATTTGAGCGCCAGTGAGAAATATCAAATCAAGTCAATACAAACAATGAAAAAGGTAATTGCAATCTCACAATTCTGACTTTTTTTATTGCAATTCTGAGGAAAAAAAGTCAGAATTGTGAGATATAACCGTATAATTCCGACTTTTTTTCTGAATTTTTTGTTTAAATCTCGCAATTCTGACTTACCTGTTTTTTTTCCTGTGTGATGAGTTTTGCGAGCCTGCATGTGTTTGCTGTAGTCACAACATGAACAATGTTTGTTACTTTGAAATATATAATGTAAAATAATTGATGCCAGCATGCGGTGATACCATTTATAATAACTTTGCAGGAAGGTTATTTGGATTTGAAGAGCGCAGCCAAGAACAAAAGCTTATCTTACACAGGGCTTTAGTTCTGGGGTGTTAACATCACATGAGCGCTGTGTGTGTGTGGCTTCAGAACTGAAATATCACATGATAAGAATCACTCAAGTTTTGTTTGGTTTGTAAACAATGACTTTGTTACGTCTGTAGCCCCGCCCACATTTCCATGAACTCAAGCAGCAGGAGGCGGATCCCGAAGGGAACTGGAGGCGGGGCTTTATTGGTCAGTGACTGACAGCTGTAAACACCGTTGCCGTGGCGATGATGACTTGTGTTGTCTCAGTGACCTGAGTGGCCTTTATTTTCCTAAATCTCACACACTCTGCGTGATCTGGACGTGAAGGTCAAGGTCTGGACAGAATCAGCAGCAGCAGGAGAGTGTGAGAGTTTAGGTGAGTTCAGCTTTTAGTTGTGCATAAATGAAATGATGAAATATATGAAAGGAAGAGCAGACCAATCACAATTCAGTATGCAAATAAATGCCAAAAGAGGATTATGAAGCTGTTAAAAGACTGAAACTGAGTCTAGATATTATGTATAAGCTCGTTTCCGCCACGGGATTAAAGCAATAAAAAGGTAATTGCGACTTTTGGCTCACAATTTGGACTTTTCGCACAATTCTGGCATATTCTGATATGATCTCATAATTATGACTTTCTTCCTTGCAATTCCAAGTCTCACAATTCGGACTTTTTACTCAGAACTCTGCATTTATATATGACTTCATCACAATTCTGAGTGATGAATAACGTGTTCTGTACAGTACAATTATATATAATTGCACAGCTCAATATAAAGTTGGATATATAGTGTTTTGTATTAATGCACAGCTCAATATATAAAGTTGTATATATGTATATATTACAACTTTTTTGGCTGACATACAGTACACTTATATATTATATATACTATAAAGCAAATCTCAAATACATGATTGTTTAAAAAATGTAACTACCATCATGGAATTCTGTAAAGCTGCTTGTGAAATGCGCCATACAAACAAATGTCCATTTTTAGCGCATGTTTTTTCAGTATTATTTGCCATAGAGTGTGTTTATGATGAAACCAAAGACGTGAAAAGCATCTGTTTTGGCTCCTGAACTCTCTTTATGTGTGTTTGCGCTCATTTACAGGCTTCTTCCACCCAGAGCTGCTATATCTGCTCTTTCTATCCTCCCACCAGAGACTAAAAATAGAATCCAGTATCATTTCCGCAGGATTCCAGTAAAAAAAAAAAACACCTGTTTTCAGACAGGTTTCCCTCTGGTCTCTCATTGGTCAGTCGGGCAGATAGTCCCGCCCCACACTCACACGATTGGTTGAATGTCACAGCTGTAAATCTCAATCTAATAGTGTGTTCTGGTCTCCGTCTCTCCTGCAGTGATTCGCGATGCCTCCACCTGTCGGACCCCCAGCCGTGCCGCCTCCAGACGGTGGGTGGGGCTGGGCTGTGGTGGGCGGGGCTTTCATCTCCATTGGATTCTCTTACGCCTTCCCAAAGGCCACCACCGTGTTCTTCAAAGACATCCAGAGGATCTTCAATGCCTCGTACAGTGAGGTGGCCTGGATCTCCTCCATCATGCTGGCTGTCATGTACGCTGGAGGTAAAACATTTACAAATGCAACTCTCTACATTAAACACACGTCCAGAACAAACTGCCCGGCGTCATGCAGCTCTCCTAAATGAAATCAGCATGTTTTATTATGAGCAAGCATTAACATGCAGCTCTGACCTTAACATGCTGGAGAAAACACACTCAGCTCAGCTGTTTCTCTCACTGAACACTGGAAATCATTAGTGAACGCAAAACTCCCATGATGCATCTGCATTATAAGACTGTGTGTGTGAGAGAGAAAGTGTGTGTGTGAGAGAGAGAGTGTGTGTGAGAGTGTGTGTGTCTGTGTGTGTGTGTGAGTGAGTGTGTGAGAGAGAGAGAGAGAGAGAGAGTGTGTGTGTGTGTGTGAGAGAGAGAGAGAGAGAGTGAGAGAGAGACTGACCCCTGTTTCCCATAGTCTGCCTGTGTGTGTGTGTGTGTGTGTGTGAGAGAGAGAGAGAGAGAGAGAGAGAGAG